ATCTACCTGCTCAGCTCTAAGCCGTTTGTGATCTATACAGATCATGCGTCACTACGCACTGCGACTCAGTCGCCCCACCTCTCGCAGAAGATGGCTAGATGGCTATCCGTCTTTGCAAAATATAACTTCGAGGTGAAGTGTAAGCCAGCTTTGAGCTTTCGAGATTCGAACGCGATCACCCGATCTCGCCCCTCGGCTTCTGCTTGCAGTAGTGCACAGCCGATGGCAAAGTCCGAAGCGTCACAGACGACGCTGAAAGGACGATCAGGGTCTGGAAGTGCCAGTATTGGTTCATGCAGGAGGCTGTCTTTGACCCCGTCAATAGCCTCCTGATGCTCGGTGTTCCAACACCATTCCGCATCCTTTTTAAGGAGATTGGAAAATGGCCGGGCCATTCCTGCGTAGTTTACGCTGTACTTGTGCAAGTAGCTGGCGAGACCAAGCCACTTACGCATGTCCTTTCGATTTTTTAAACAGGTCAGTCTACAATGGGCTTGACCTTTGCGGGATCCGCTCGAAGGCCACGCTTCCCAATGAATACCTTAAGAAAGGACTTCCGCGCCAAAGGTGCACTTGTCTGCATTGGCGTACAGTTTGTTCGTGCGCATGCGCTCGAGCACAGCTCTTAGATGGACGATTTGGTTCTCCTCGTCTGTCCTCCCGTGCTCCCCACGACTGTGAACGAAAATGTCGTCAAAGTATGTCTGTGCATACGGCCTGTGAGGCCTGAACAACTGCGTCATAAGACAATTTAATATTGCTGGTGATTTTGGCAGCCCTTGGGGCATCACCAACCACTCCCAGAGCATGCCGCTCGGAGTGCTTACCGCTGTCAGCGGAATATCACTCGATCTCATGTACAATTGGTAATACCCATCGACCTAATCGAGTGCACTGTACTTCGTATATCCCACCATGTTGTTCTGAAGAACATCCTTTCTAGGAATCGGTGTCTGTGCCGGAATGATGGTGTTGCCGAGCTTATTGTAGGCATAAACGATACACCACTTGCCGTTCGGCTTCCGAACACACAACGTGGGTGTCGATTGGGAAGACTTGCTCGCACGTACCATCTCTGCGTCGTGCTTCGCGCGGAAAAAGGCGTCAATGACGTCGCACTGCTTCTTGGGCAGGGGCCATTGGCGTGTAACGCAGTATTTGGTTCCCGAAACGAGGTCAATCTCATAACGCACACCTCGGTCCGGAGATAGTACCGAAGGCGGGTCTTTGGAGACGACGGCTTAAAATTCCTTCACCAAAGGATAGTACAGGTCCAAGGGATTCCGTAGGATCGACGATCCACTTCGTGCGCTCAGCGCTCTCTAGGTTTCCTCCAAGACAGCTTCATCCAAAAGCGATGTCGAGCTTTTCTCCTCGTCCGGTTGTACAATGACCACTTCGGCCGAATCGCCTGCCTACAAGGCACTGCCGAACTTTTCAAGGGACATCTCGTCCAGCTCAAGAAGAGCATCTATTGCAGGCATAGTCTCGAGGCGGACGTCGCCATCTTCCTCCCCCATCATACCGTTGACGAGGGTGTATAAC